GCAGAGGGTCTCATATTGCATAAACCATTATAATGTAAAACACGACAGATCTTGTTTAGTCTGGGTTCGAAATCAAGTGGGACAGCCAAAGAAAAGAGAGAAAAAATCTGGAGTTTTTTTTTTGGGCCTGTGAGTAACTAGATTCCTTTTCTCTTATTAATTCCTAGAGACTATTGTTCTAACCAGAGCATTGATAATCGCCTCAAGCATAACAAGCGTTCTCGCATTTCTTTTGCTTATTTTTGGATTTAAAAATTTCACTTATTGTCAAGATGGATTCATGAAAATGCTGTGTCTGCGAATTTCATCTGGGCTCAGTTTCCTGGTTGGTATGTAGAACCTTAACTTTAGTTTAGTAATGACATCATGGTCTCATTTTAATATTTTTGGATAAAATGTTCAAATGATTCAAATCTGTTAGAAAGAAAAGTTCCAATGCATTATCTACATGAGTCCATTAAAGTCCATAAAAATTACTTGTTTGGAAAGTAATTCTAACAGATTTCAATAGTTTATCCACAAAATATTAAACTGAGGCCCACATTAGAAACACATTCAAGCTGATTTAGAGATGTTATCATTATATGTATATATGTGGAAAGTGAAATAGATATGTATGCTCGATGGCCACTTTATTTGGTTCACCTTGTATGAAAGGAAACAGACATGGTCAAGAAGATCAGTTGTTGTTCAAACCAAATATCAAAATGGTGAAACATGTTTCTTTAAATGCTTTGACCATTGATTGATTTTGATGTCAGGCATTGTGATGGTATCTTAAAAACTACTGATTACATAAGTTTCAAGCTCAACATGGTGGTTATTTATATAGAGAATGGTGTGAAAAACATTGGGTCAATGGTGGCAGTTTTGAGTGTATCAATGCCTGGTTAACATGTAAAGTCAGAGGAGAATGGCCAGTCTGGTTCAAGCTGGCAACATAGTGACAGAGAACAATGCGATGAGCCCTACCTCACTACTGCATCCAAGGCCAATGCCCAAAGCCACCCTTTGACCTGTCCACTCCTGTATCTTTTACGCCAATCCTGTTTCTCTATCCTCCATTCCATCTCAACCCTCTTCTGTCTCACTATAACTTTATCTCTCATCACACTTTGAAAAGTCTACAAAACTGTACAGCTTCAAATATTTCCCCTCTAATCTCATTCTTTACTCCCCCAGAGACCTTCACCTTCAATAACTTTACCCCTCTAATTCTAATCCAAACTTTCTTTACACAAAACATCCCCAACATCTATTTGTAACTCCCGTAGTCTTAATCCTAAACTCCTCTAACCTTATCCTAATTTTATAATCTTAGTTCTAAGGCCCCTCTTCCCAATTTGAAATATATGCACTAGATTTTTTGCAAAAATTCAGTTGAGTTTGTTAGTTTAAACCAAAATCCCTTCAATCCATACTCGAATGAACTGATCCATCTGGGATTTACCCATGGAGTCTTACTCAATGAATAAAACTCCACATGTAAGACACAGGCAAATCGAATTGTTCGGTGTGGCTTAAAATTTTTGATTAGGATAAACTGGCCCAAACAAATTTTTGCACAAGACTAATATGCGCCACTAATTCCTGATACCATGTGGATCCTAGAGGAAGTTGTGAGTGTGAATCTATTCACATGATGAAACAGATCCTAGCAGTGTGCTCTCATCTGCCCAAGATTAGTTAATCCGAGTGACAATGGGATGTGATAAAACCCTGATAGGCCTGGATAGTGAGACAGATCTTGAAATGTATCCCACCGCCCATGGGTTGACACCTCAGATTTCAATTGCCTTATCGACCTAATGGTTGCACTGGCCAGTTCTGTTCAGCTGGGGCTGGGGGCAATGTTTGACACCTCTGCTTTAAGTTTTATTTTGCCCTTATTTGGTAGTTTTGGTACACATGTATTTATAACTTATTTCCACAAATATCTCTCAGTATGATTAAATCAAAAACATTCTTTAAAACACAATACAACTGATTTCTTCTGAGTCTAAGAATGTTTCGTGTGGAAACAAATGGTCTCATTATCCTGCGTGATTTAAGGAACCATGGTTAAAAATGTATTTTACATACCTATTCGCTATTCCTAAAAACATGGGAGCCTTGGGAGGACTACACCAACCGCTGAAAAACTTAAACCCACACAGGCACCAAGTCAAAATTAATTTCTAACTGTACTTTATTAGAGAAAGACGTAGGCCCTAGCTGACACTGAAAGCCCTCCTCCCCACGGGTGTAATCCCCTGCCCCCCACCTCTTCTCTCTCTTTCCCTCTATCATATTTCCTATTCTTTTTCATTTTTCCTTCCCTTCAAAAAGTGAAACATTCATGCCTATAATTAAAGATCCAAAAAGAAGTCGCAGGTACAGAGAAGCGATAAACAAACGCAGAGTAACTATATGCACGGTTAGCAAATACTCAAAGAATGTTGTAATGAAGTGGAAACAGTGATAGTAAAGTAACTACAAACAGTAAACGTATAATCACCACTACAACTTCTAATGCAATGTAATATGTTACTTAAAAATACCCATGTATGTATGCTACAAGATGCTTTATGGTATACACAAAATTCTGTGTACGATGCCTCTCTTTCTGTACAAACTGCTATGCATGATTTGATAAATAAAGAATTAAAAAAAAAATGTATTTTACAAAACGCTGTGAATTTAAAGGTAATACATTAAAAGAAAAATTGCAATGTCAAATAGATCATGGTGAACTATTGCCTCTATTCATGCCAAAAAATCTTGGCCATATTACATCCTATTTGTCATTTGAAAATTGGTGTCTGTTTATGGAAGATAAAGTCCTAGTTGAGGCCTTTAAATACGACTATAATAGAGCAGGAGATCTTATCTCAGAGACCATCCTTCTTCATGTATTCAAAGGAAGCTGGACAGATCAATAAGTCAAATTTCTCTTTTAGGAATGTCTTCCTCGGCTGGTGTTATAAGATACTGTGTTTATGTTTACCATGTCCATCAGTACGAGGTAGGTCTTCCAGTATTAATAATACATACATCTAACAATTTGCCATGTTTAAAATTACAATATAGTTTGTGGATTATTTTTTATCATTTAAATGCAAAATTAAAGAAAAATTACTGAAGCCAAAATAATATGTGGACAATTTATTTCACGCACAAAGCAAACAAAAAAGTTGTCGGACATTGCAAATTTTCACTTAAAGAGATTGGTGATCAGTTATGGATTATTGGATGCTAACATGAAAAAAAACAGGTGTCAATGTTCAGCCAGTGAGCACTAGGAGTACAGAAGGATAAAAGAGAATCTGTTAGCATTGTGTGGTCAGTGGACAGAGAGCTAAATATGAAAAAGAAATCAACAAGTAAGACAATAGTGCAGCTGCCTTCCTTCCCCCACACCATATGTGTTATAGGGTGGGAGAAAATATAAGCAGATTCAGGGCCAGATTAACATAGGGGCTGATTGAGCTGAAGCTCCAGACCCATGCCCATGGATTAGGCCCATTGATAAAATAATAATAATAATAATAATTAAATACATTTATTTTTTTACTATTCTTCACATGCTCTGGCTTTGTGTAAATGAAATTAATTACAGAAACTTATTTGGGCTGTAGGGGAACAAATCTTTTGTGGACTAGCTGACAATGAAATTAGTTAAGGTAAAGCTGACTGTTCACACTGAGTAAATGCTCTTGCTGTTTCGGGCTCTCTAACACTGTGGCATGTTCACTTTATTCTACACTCACTACATTCACCTTTTCTCTTCTGTCCCAGGCTGCATACCAGCAGCTTCTGCCTGCTAGTAAGAAAGAGAGGAGACAACTAGTTAGTGTTGTTATACAGTCCCCACAAAGTGTAGGATGAGTGAATCATTAGACATATTTGCGCCAACCTCAAGGCGCTGTCTGCATACAATGCCATTAGTTGGCCAGCCTGCAGGTTTGGTAGGCAGCCTGACATGCTTCCATGACAGACTGACCTTCCAATTTTTCTAGCAGTCTAGAAAAATTCTGGGCATGTCCATTCCTTTGGACGATGCCGGTTACATGATTCGCATCAGGGTATGTGTTTTGTTATAGGTGCATCTTGTACGTTTCCCTCCACATGATGCTTGGAATGTATGACAGTTTTAATGCTTGCTGTGGTTAGGCCCATCATAATTGTCAGCACAATGGACTATTAATCTGGCCGTGAGCAGGTTGTTTCCTTGACATATTGCTAACCATTGGAGACCCAGTGAGCCGGTTCCCCTATTATTGTTAATTTACAGGGGCTACAATACACACCCTACTCATTCTTCTATCTTGTGAGCTGTAAGAAGTGTGATACTCTACAGCCCAGCCTCTGTAGAGTACCAGAAATGTGACCAGTCCCTCTGGAAAAATATAGAACCAAAGTATAATCCAACAATTATCAGTAAGCCATGGGGTGCTCAATTCCCCTCATGTGTCTCCATAAATGATAGGCATATAGTTAAAAAGCTGAAAAGAGACATGCGTCCATCAAGTTCAGCCTCTCTCACATTTGTATTTGCTGTTGATCCATTTAAGACAAAAACCCAGTCTGACGCACTTTCTAATTTTGCAATAAATCTTTCTTGACTACAGCAGGGCAGTCAGATATCTAATTGGATCAAGACGCTATTACCCCACTAATTAAAAAGTATATCCCTGTATATTATGTTTTTGCAAGTATTTATGTAATTACTGTCTAAACATCTGTATGGACTCTGATAAAACCACCTCTTCAGGCAGAGAATTCCACATCCTTATTGTTTTTACTGTAAAAAAAGCCTTTATTTTGTCTTAGATGAAATCTCCTTTCTTCCAGCCTAAATGTGTGACTTTGTGTCCTATGGATAGTCATGTTTATGAATAGAAATAGGATGTCTTGCCTAAAATTAGCGTGTTATGAAAATATTTTTTTAGACATTGTTTTATTATATTTATATAGATATATATATATATATATATTTGTTTAAATTTTTTTTTATTTCTAGGTGTCCCTGAAAATCCCAGGATTCCCTAGCTTTGAATACGGTTACTCCCTTTGGATGGCTGTAGGTGGGAGCTTAGGAGCCATCACTACATCAATAATTGCCTGGTATCTGATTCTCTGCAACAAGAAGCCGCAAGTGATACAGAAAAAAGGATTAGATGGAAGCCAATATCCTGACGCTTTGGATGTTGTAAAAACATATGTTTAACTAAATCAGCCAACTAAATGTATGTCAACTATGATAATATTTACATTAATCATTAGAGCAAACATTGCATTAACATTTATTAAATCTTTTTTTTTTACGATACATCCCATTTCACTGTCCACTGTGCATCTAAACTTTCATTGCCATGTTTGTTTATATTGGGATTCTGACTCACCATCTACACAACAAATAAATACATGTTATTATATATACATTAATCAGCCACAACATTAAGGGGACACTATCGGCACTCACACCACTTTATCTCATTGAAGTGGTCTTGGTGCAGTGTCCCTGTCCCCTTAGCCCTGCAATGTAAATCATTGCAGTTTTAGAGAAATTGCAATGTTTACATTGCAGTACTAAGCCAGCCCAAAGAGGTTCTCCCTGCAGTTTTATAGAGTTTAATGTTTTTGTTTTGGGTGAATCAGGTTTTGGCCCATGTGTCGTTTTAGTTTGGCCGAATTTCCTCCATGTGTTTTGTGAAAAAGCGATTCGTATGTACCGAAATCCAGGGGAAATGCTTCCATTAGCCCATAATATTATGTATATATTTTGTAGTACGCTGATCGATGCATTTTTGCCTGTTTTGGTTAATAGGTCACATGAGAAGTAGTAATCAAAAGAGTGAAAAAAATGACGAGCATTAAAAAATCTACATTTATATATTTATGTATTATATATTCATTACATTTCCCCCCCCCCCTAACTGGTCACTTTTCACTTGATCTATGAATAAAATAAATATTTACTTATCTGGTGACTGTCCTTAAGGCATCAATCATCTTTTTTTCCATCAACCATTTTTTTTTGGAACCAATGATGGAACTCTGAATCATAAATAAAGAAAATGACTTGTTCATTCTTTGTTTTGTGATTTGGTCATACAGCAATTTGAAGTTACAGAATATGGACTAATCGTCATTTTGATTGAAACTGAATGTTCAGGTCTATAAATTAAGCTATTTACCAACAGCTAAATTGTAACTAGGTGGCTGTCACAAAACAGAGTATCTCTCACATTGCCAGCTCCTCTGCATGGCCAATCAGGTAGGATTCAGCCCCCCGCACTGGAACTCTGCCTCAGCCTGGTGAACTTTCACACAGGAAGAGGAAGTACAGGAAGCACTTCATGAAGGATCCACACTGCCAGTGACAGGTAATTGTATGATTGATACTGAAAGAGTTAGATAGGGAGAGAGAGAGAGAGCTTTTCTGTAATGTGCTTCTGTTTGTCAGTGAGCTTGTAGTGAGCTTGTGTGTGTATCAGTGATAGTAAGCTTGTGTGTATCAGTGAGAGCTAGTAGTAAGCGTGTGTGTATCAGTGAGCTTGTGTGTTTGTCAGTGAGCTTGTAGTGTGCTTGTGTGTATCAGTGAGCTTGTAGTTTGCTTGTGTCAGTGATCTTGTAGTGTTTTTGTGTTTGTCAGTGAGCTTGTCATGTGCTTGTGTGTACCAGTGAGCTTGTAGTAAGCTTGTGTGTATCAGTAAGCTTGTAGTGTGCTTGTGTGTGTGTCAGTGAGCTTGTAGTAAGCTTGTGTGTATCAGTGAGCTTGCCTGTAATAAGCTTGTGTGTGTGTCAGTAAGTTTGACTGTTGTGAGCTTGTGTATGGGGCAAATAAATTGTGTGTGTTAGTGTGCTTGTCTGTAGTGAGCTTGTGTGTGTCAGTGAGCTTGCCTGTAATAACCCTGTGTGGGTCAGAGAGCTTCTGTGTGTCAGTGAGCTTCAGGGCCAGATTAAGAGCCCAGTGGGCCTGGTGCTGACATTTATGTTGGGCCTAATTACAGAATCTTATCAACCAAAAACACTAAAACATTCCCAAGTGTCATGTATCTGATGGAGATGGTGTTGGAGGGAAAGAAAACAGCCTACCTTATGCTAATCTCTCTCTAATTTATGTTTTCATCTTTCAAGTAAATGCATAACCCCTAACAGCAGTGTCCAGTGAAGCAGGAAGTCAATGGGTGCGGTTAAGGGGTGTGCCACTGACACAAATCACGTAACCTGCCAAAAGGGGCGAACATGCCCAAAAAGGGGGCATGTCTGCCCAAAGAATTGGAAGGCCAGCCTGGAGTGAATGCATGTCAGGCTGCCTGTCAATCATGCAAGCTGGCCAAATAAGGGTATACTATGCAGACAGCACCCTGAGCTCGGCATAAATGCATCTAATGATGCACTCGCTCAGCACTTTCTAAGGACTGTCCCCTAGCACTCGCTGGTCCACTTGTCTCCTTACCTTCTTACTAGAAGGCAGAAGGTGTATAGTCTGGGACAGAGAAAATCTGTATGTAGTGAGTGTAGAAGAAAGGGAACATGCCCCAGTGTTAGAGAGACAAAAGTCAGCATTACCTTAACTAATTTCATTGTCAGCCAGTCCACACAAATTTTGTTCCCATACATCCCTCTTAAGTTTCCATACTTAAGCAAGAGTATGTGAAAAGTAGTTAGGGTTGCCACCTTTCTTGGAAAAAACATATCGACCTTACTAATTTGCATAATTAATTATGTATGGGTGAACTTTACATGATGTAAATCACAAGGAGTGACATAAGAGAAAATGCTGTAAAATCACCAAAATACTACTTACAGTTTGATTCTGCTGTATACATGGATTGCTCCCAGTGTCTCCCTGTCCCCCAGTGTCTCAAGTCTCCCACTGTCTGTGTCCCTATGTATCAGTGTCCGCATGTTGCCTAGTGTCCACTAGTCTCCCAGTACCCTCATGACTCAGTGTCCCCATGTGTCGATTACCCCAGCTCTCACATTGTCCGATATATCACAGTGTCTCCCAGTATCCCCTAGTCTCCCAGTGTCCCCATGTCCCCTAGTGTCGTGTCCTCAGGTCTTCCAGTGACCCTATGTATCACAGTGTCCCTATGTATCCCAGTGTCTCAATGCCCCATGTCTCCCAGTGTCCTCTAGTGTCTCAATGTCACCCAGTGTTCCTATGTCTGCCTGTGTCCCCCAGTATTCCCATGTCTCTCAGTGTCCCCTAGTGTCTATGTCCCCATGTCTCCCAGTGTCCCCTAGTCACTAGGACACTAGGAACACTGAGAGATATGGGGACACTGTGAGGCATGGGGACACTGAGACAGGGACATTGGGAGACATGGGGACACTGAGAGAAATGGGGACATTGCGACACTTGGGCACTGGGAGTCATGGGGACACAGACACTAGGGACAATGGGAGACATGGGGACACTGAGACACTTGGGGACACTGAGACACCAGGGACACTGGGAGACTAGCGGATGCTGGCTGGGACACTTGGAGACTAGGGGACACTGGGAGACATGAGTACACAGACACTAGGGACACTGGGAGACTGAAGGAAACTGGGAAACTAGAGGAGACTTGAAGACATGGGGAAACTGAGACACCAGGGACACTGAGACACTAGGGACACTGGCTGGGAGACATGTCTGTGTCCCCATGTCTACCGTTGTTTCCAAGTGTCTCTGTGCCCCCAAGTGTCTGTGTCATAATGTCTCCCAATGTCCCTTAGTGTCTCAGTGTCCCCATATCTCCCAGTGCCCCCATATCTCCTTGCATCCTTTCCCTCCATCCCTCACTTCCCTGAGCTGTAGGCCGTCTCTGCAGCTAAGGAGTTGCTGTTTGGACTCTCTGTAGCTGCTCTCCTGTGGATCATTGAGTAGAGATAGGCAGGGAGGGATATGCTGGAACTTCCTATCCCTGCCTCTCTCCACACACAGCGACCTCTACTAACCAGTGCTGGTATTGCATCATAATCTTTGTTCATACTGAGTAAAATACCAGAATTTGTATTGACAGTATGACTGTAATATTGGCACCAGCCAGGCAGCCTCACATACTGACTGTGCCAGTAAAATACCAGCCAGCTCTGTGTTTGTCATTAGTGAGCTTGCATGGGTCAGAGAGATTGTGTGTCATGAGCTTGTCTGTAGTTAGCTTGTGTTTGTCACTGAGTTTGTCCGTAGTGTGCTTTAGTGAATGTTTGTCAGTAAACTTGTGTACGGCTTTAAGCTTGTCTGTAGTGAGCTTGTGCATGGGTCAGAGAGCGTTTGTGTGTATCAGTGAGCTTGTCTGTAGTGAGCTTGTTTGTATCAGTGAACTTTTATGTAGTCAGTGTGTGTGTGCCATTGAACTAGTGTGATTTATTAATGTGGAACATCCTTTTAATATATATATATATTTGCTGAAATTATACAATTGACACACTAATGCCGATACAATGATATCAGCATGGAGTATTTCCCTGCTTAAATAATTGTCCCCAAGCAGAGCCAATCACAAGGGACAGGGGGCGGCCTGGAGGGTGGGTGTTACAGCATTGTAACACCCATGGATCATCTTGAGCGAGGGGCTGCAGGTAAGACACATTTCTTCCAAAGCATATACATATACAAAATACAAGCATACTATGTGACACAATGAATTAGAGGGCTGGAATTATTTTTTTCCAGGGTTGCTTTCTGTTCCCAGTACGGCCCTGTCCACAGGCCACTTATACATCAAATGGTGTAGAGTTAGGGATAACATTAAATAAAAAGGACTTGGGGACAATTATAGATCACAAACTAGGCAAAAGTATGTAATGCCGGTCTGTTGTTGCAAAAGCTGGTAAGGTGCTTTAATGTATGAAAAGAAGTATTGATTCACGTGATCTAAATATAATTTTGCCTCTACAAATCAATGGTAAGACCCCACCTTTGATATGATGTGCAAGTTTGGCATCAGTTCTAAAGATAGATATTGCAGAACTAGAAAAAATGCAGAGAAAAGTTATAAAACTAATAAGAGGAAAACACTACATACGAGGAAAGGCTAGAGATAATTTTATAGTTTTCTTTAGCAAAAAGGCACTATTAAACTTTATATGCTAACCTGTTCATTAGTATGAATATACAACAGATAAGACATCACCCATTGAGACTGGAAGAAAGGAGTTTTCGCTTACAGCAGAGGGAAATATTCTTTAAGTAATAACAATAAAGATGTGGAACTCTCTGCCTAAAGATGTTGTGTTATCAGATTCTACAG